GCTGCTTCTGGCCGTTGGCAACGAGTCGTGCCCGCAGTTTGAGTTTTTCACCGTCGGGTCCACGTTTCGTGGCCAACACGAAATGGCAGGGGATGAGGTTAGCGCCGCGAGGTAAGTCTACTACTTCCCACGTCCCCAACTTCTCAAGCTGACTTATCTCGTAATCAACAGCTTCCTGCCACTCTACTCCATCTGGTCCGTTTAACGCCTGTTGCAAGGTGGGCTCTGGTTGGGCGACTGCCAAGGCAAGGTGAAGGTGAGTTTCTTCATCCAATAAATCTACCTCTGACGCTTCCAACAGGTTCTCCATCGCTATGGCCGCTGCATTGCTGCCTTCGTTCAGGCTAGCATAGTAGCCCGGAGGAGGTCTGGCCCTCGTCGTCCTTGGAGGAGTAGATGGTTGAGGTTGCTGCTCGGTAGATGGTTGAGGTTGCTGAGGAGTAGATGGTTGAGGTTGCTGGGCGGTAGATGGTTGAGGTTGCTGTTGCGTGGTAGTGGTGATGGGCTGGACGCTATGAGGTGAGTTATTATTACCGTTGCCGCTGTTATGTTCGTTAACAGCAGTAGGCTCCCCCTCGTCCAGTGCATCCACCAGGATCTCTGCCGGTGCAAAGGTGAGGTTCCTCTCCACCGATACACGGCGTTTCCCCGGCCAGTACACTCTATAATCCTTGCTTTCAGCGTCTACCCCCACAAAGATTGCCTCCTCTGCCTTCGGCTCCAACTTCCCAGCATCCAGCACGTGGACGAAGACTTTCGCCCCGAACTCATGGGCTCGCGACAAGTCCGGCTTGGACTTGCGTACGAGCTCGTATGGCGTAGTGCCGGGGGTCGACCTTGATGGTAAGCGGTTTTTCAACCAAGTTGCATAGTTGACCGCCTCTGCCCACAGGTACTTAGGGAGATCCCTCCCTATCAGCATGGCCCTAGCATGTTCAACGAGGGTCCGGTTCAGGCGTTCGGCCACGCCATTCTGCTGAGGTGAGTCGTGGATGGTTAACTGACGCTCGATACCCTGCTGACGGAGGTACAGGTCGAACTCAGCGCTGAGATATTCTCCCCCTCTGTCCGAACGGACCTTGCGCAGCTTAACTCCCGGCATCTGACGTGCCAACCAGGCTTCATAGGCCTTAAACGCTGTAAGTGCCTCGCTCTTCAATTTGAGGAACTGAACTTTAGTCTGCCGGCTGTAGTCGTCCGTGAACGTGACGTAGTACAGGCACCCGGCGATGCTTGCCGTTTGGGCAGGGCCCCATAGATCAGTGTGCACGAGCTCACCATAGGTAAGTGCGCGGCTCGTGCTTTCCTCTGGGAAGGGCTTCCTCGTTGACTTAGCTTGCACACAGGCTTCGCAAAATTCGGCTTTCGATGTGTCATCCAGTTCTAGGCCGGTGACTAGGCCCTTCCGGATTGCATCAGCGGCTGCAGTCTGGGACACGTGGCCCAGTACTTTGTGGGCGCTGCTGACGGTAAGCTTCCCTTTTGTGATGTTGGCATGATGCTGACGTTGTTGTCCTCCTGCGACACTATACAGGCCTTCAACCTGGGGGATCTCTGCAATGACCTTCCGGTCTGGCCCTTTCGACAGGAGCTTGCACATCCTGTCCTCGAACAGCACGGCTAGGCCAGCCGCTGCGATACGATTCGTGGAAATTAGCGTAAAGGCCATTTTCGGTGTGTAGAGTGTGTTTTTTAATGTGACCCTTGTGCGTTTCTCACCGAGCGGTAGCTCCAGGTGCACATCTCCACGGCCAATCGCACTCAAGCTCGAACCGTCGGCTGTGCGAACGTCTTGGGGAGGGATGCTCACGAAGTTCGTGAACTTCGCCCTATCAGGGCAAAAATGAGAGGTCGCGCCCGAATCTACGATTGCGCCTCGTTTCTCGACAGGTACGTTCAGCTCGCCTGCCACGCTCGCCAAATCTGACGTAACGAAGGCGTACTGGTCGTCGTGGGCTTCTGGCTGTGTGGCCGAGTTAGCAGCCTGCTTGGGTGCTTTCTCGGCCTTCCTTTTCTGCTGGTTAGGGCCTTGCCCTTCCTTACCACCCCCCGGACGCCAGCAGTCCATTTTATAGTGGCCCTTCCTGTCGCAATTGAAACAGGTGACCTCCGGATTCGTTTTGGGGGTGCCGGCTGATGCTCTGCCCTTCCCCTTAGCTTCTCTAGCAGATAGGGCGGAGCCTGAAGCTCCCTTCTTGGTGGGACGGCGTTCGGTGAGTAGGCGATGCTCGTACTCTTCGGTGATGATGCTGATTAGCTCGTAGGAGGTGAGGGGACTTTTAGTTATCCTAGCTGCTGCGCTGATGGACGATAGGAGGGGCCGGTACGACTCCGGGAGCGAGCCTAGAATAATGGCGTGGAAGTCGTTATCGACGATAGCCGCGCCCATTCCTGCCAGCGACTCGCGGAGCCTTATGAGCTCTGCAAAATGGCCCTTGATGTCGCCTCCTTCCTCACAGCGTGTCTCTTGCAACCGACGCCGTAAGTCTATTTGCATGAGTTCAGTCTTACCCTCGTGAATCTGACAAATCTCGTTCCAGATCTCAGATGCCTCCCCAAGCTTCTGGACGCGCAGTAACAGCCGATCAGTGATCGTGCTGAAGATCTGCTGCTTTACGAGTGAGTTTTTCTGGTGGTACTCGTCGATCTTCTTATCAAGCTCGTCTATTTCAGTCTGCGTTGGCGTCGAACCGTCAGGCTTCTTTACGGCCTTGGTGTTCGGATCGATGACGAAGGGAATAGGTTCGCAGACACGTCCATCGGTATATCGCATCAAACCTCGGGCTCCAATAGCCGTTAGTGTTCGTTCTTTGTAAGTAATCCAATTCGAGCCGTCTTCTGCGAGCTTCGGGATATTGAACAGGGTGGAGTTTGTACCGGGGAGCGTAGATTCCATGATGGAGGCAGGGCTCATAACCTAAAGGCGTTTATGACGAGCAAGAGGGTCACGAGGAGTCTAGAACGACAAAGACAAGATCTCAGTTGTCTCGAACGAAAACTCTATAACGGTGCGTCTACCTAGAACGACAAAGACAAGCTATAACTAACATTAGACGCGTTGTAAACTCTAGGGACTTGTTGGCACGTACATCTCAGTTGTCTCGAACGAAAACTGAGATGCACCTGCGGTACTGCTGGTAATCTTATAGTAAGTTGGTCAGGTACTGGAACATATGAATGAGAGACTGAAAATAAACTAGGACGCGAGCCGACGTCATACGTTGCTCGTCTTCGTCCGTTTTGGCGCGTGCTCGAACCATTCTCCCCTTATCACTCGGATCCTTCGGACTCTCTCGACTCGGATCTCCCCCTGGCCTCAGATCTCTCGGTCTCGTACTCCAACACCTGGGTCTTTCGAGATCTCCTAAGCCAGCTGCCGATCTCCTGTTAGCATTCTCCCATGTATGACGAGACTCTGAATGTCTGTTAGTATCCATCTCCAGGGATCATCGTCGTCACCTATCCCAGCTGCAGGCTGTATGCCACAACGGGTTGGAATTACATATTACCAGCATTCCCTAGTGTTCTGTCACTAAGATAATGTCGAAGATAGAGCGAATCAAACCTGAGGTCTGCTGGCAATAAAAATGACATCTGTTCTGAAGAAGTTTGTTGGGCGAGCAGAACATTATTCAGGACACAAAGCAAGCTGTTTTCCTACCGCACACATCTCACAGATAATGCGTCTCTCCTTCATCCTCGCTGTTGTTGCTGCTTTCGAGTGGACAGTGTCTATGCCAGTTGTCAGTGATGATGGTGTCTGTCCCATCTTCAGCGACGGGAATCATTGCTGCCCTGGCTGTATATGCATAGAAGTAGGACTTTGGGATGTGAGTACGGGTAGTTTTCTAATAACTCCGTGGCTTACCGGTGTGGTAGCCCAAATTGGTCTGTATCGGGCCTGGCAGTGAGGGGAGGTGACCCGCCGAGCTACAGTAAGTTGTGTTTCCGCTCTTGCCTTGGTGCAATGCGGTTGACGACGCGACTCGGACATGCAAGTAGTTCGTTGCTGAGTGCTCGGTAGCCGCAGCGAACCCTGCTCGGGCATTGAAGACACTATGAATTAGAAAAATATGTTTGGGACAAGCTTGACTGGTGATGCGGCAATGATTTTTATTTTAACAAGTTCATCGATGGCGAGATGTTCGGTGTGTCTGTCATAAGTAGTTTGTAGACAGGTTAATATCACACGAGCGCTGTAGCTGCCTGGAGTGACCTGTAGCAAATATTTCTCCAGCTGACTCCTGTAGCGGTGACTTTGGCTATATAGTACTATATAGCCGTATGTAGCTTGAAGGGTGCCTATATAGCGCTACTGCGACTACAGTAGCTTGAAGGGTGCCTATATAGTGCTACAGCGGCTATATAGCTCTATATAGCTGTCACCAGGGCTATGGCATTTTGAGTGTTTTCCTGATGTTTGCGACTGACACTACTAATATAATAGTGAGGATATATCATAATAGTTCTGTTCAGAGCTGGGTATTTTTCACGGCAGCACGAAGACATATCTGTCCTTCGGGGTGGAGTCGCTGCCGTGGGGCCCGGGCCCCGGGGCTTCCTAACTAGTGTAATTGTGTCGATGAGCCCCAAAGTGACCCCCTCTTTAGGGGTTGGCTGAGATCCGGGCAGCGAGGTTATCATGCATCGTGTTTCGCATGTTGCACCTTTATTCTTGACCAGCTATCATCCCAGGCGCACAGCTGTAGTGTTTCGTCGTGATATTGATACGTCTGAGCCTTATTAAGGTGATCTGGAACTCCAGTCTATACGCCAGAACTCTCTTCGTGCCCACGATACCCACTGGCAAGCCGGTGTTCTCTCGGAGATGTCTGTCGAACCCCACAGCACAGCCGCTCTTCATACCGAAGGACATTTTGTTATACCAAGCACAGGTCAGTGTTCGATATGCATGGCAAGTGTTGTGTTGATTGTAGCAAAGCTTTTCAAACCGTGACGTAGACGCCGGGCTGAGCTAGAATTAGTACTTACCTTGTATCATGACGCCATTTTTTAATGGAGATTCAAACCTTACTGATTTGGCTTGTTCGGCAGGCAAGAAACGATTGTCCTTGAAGCTTGGATGTTCTTTCTTTCTCTTTGGACTCATAAACAATGGTGTGCCATTTTTGTTTTTTCAAATGGCTACTCTGATCATCATAAAGTACTCTACGTCATCATACTTTCGGCTGCACTCGACCTCGTCCCTCCGTCAACACCTAAGGGCATCATTGCCTTTTGTAATATCGCTCCGGCCTTAATTGTGAAGCTCGGGTGGCCGTACTTTCTCAAAGGTCGCATACGTTATGCTCGACGCATTGTCGCCTGCTGCACGTTAAGCTTTATAGGCATGCTGGTAATCTGACAACAGACTTTCTTCGAAATCACAATTCATGTTACACACAGGTCGTTGCCTTCCATGAAAGCCTGTATTCGAGGCTGCTGGGAATATGTCTCGCGTCGTTTTCGTCGGGTGAGTTTACACATTCATCATGCACACCCGCTAGTGTTTCTCACGTGAACGACAAACGATAGGTCTGGGAGAAATGACCTTCTTGCAACTTTCGACAACATACAGCCGTTCGGTAGGAGGTCGAAGCGTTGGGTCCGCATTATCTCACCCTTCGAGCTATTTCATGTTGATTCCACTTGACAGATACTTCGCCTCAGGTACAGGAGCTGCAGGTATTGTCGGAGCATTCATGTGGTGGGAACTCAGGGGCCTGGGTGTCAGTACTGGTGTTGGCATTTCAGCGGTAACAATATAAGCATAGCAGCCAAAACAATCGCTCATATTGCATCGCAGGTTCTTCCATTCATCCTTCCTCTGGCATACTTTTTCCTGCTCCCCCGTCCAGCAGCATTCATGCATCAGTCATCCTCTACGTCATACACGCTCGTCCCCGCTGACGACCTTGAGACTGAAATTGATGATGATTTGTCTGCTCAAGATGACGTAGAATCTCGTGTGGAACCCAAGGTTACCGTCCGCTTATCAGCCGCGGATAAATGGCGTCTAGTCAAACCGATGTTATTGAAGTATATGCTTCCGCTATGTGAGCAGTCTTTATTACTCGCGATTCTCATATGTCTAATAATTTACTACCAGTTTGTGTTTATACCGTAAGTAGTCGATGTTTCTTAGACACAGAGCATGCCTTCTGACCTGCACAACCTAGCTTGAGTATACTATCAACCAGGTATGTCATGTCTATCTTTGCACTTAGTCTTTCTGAACATATACAAGGTATCGCACCGACTTTATTATTTCCCGTTCCGTCACACGGCCTCCTCAGCAAGATCATTCATTCTACCCGCGACTACTATCCACTTTGGCAGGTTTGCATGATAATTCGCCGCGATCCTGAACTACATTTTTGATAACGATTCATTCATAGCTAGTTTACCAGACCACGGTCTTTTTCTCTCGTTCAAGCATATCTCTGGGCTTGAAAACCCTTCCGGCCCATCTCCTTCCTGCTCCGGCTATTATCCAGTTCGTAATACTGCTTCTGCTAGTATTTGAGTCCGCTGTCGGGCTACTTCCAGAAGATCGTGAGGCAGGAAGTATATTCCTGGTTTTCATACTCATCAGTATTGAAGGCGTATGTGGCGGTTTGGCATAGTGTGTCTTATTTTTGTCCGGATAGAAGTTGATGATCTGATTGAATGACTGCTAGCGTCAACGTGTTCTATTGTATCAATCAAGAGCAACCGGATCCAGCCTCGACGCATGATCCCGATGTCATAAAGCAAGAGCGCGAGTTCAAGATAGGTTCCATTGGTTTTGCCGATAGCTCTGGGATTTTGTTGGCTTCAATTCTCGCTGTACCAACGGAAATGGAGCTTTGCAGAGCACAAGTTACAAGGGGGAAGTACCTATGCCAAGGGCTTTAGGTCTGCGACCTACGGAAGACGTAGTTTATATACAATATTTGAGCAGTAATGATACACAATGCGCTAGAGGATATCACGAAACCGAAAGGAATACTAGGTGACCAAATGAAAACACTAGAGTACAGATCTGGACGAGCGGAATTCTACGTCGGCCGACGCGGCGAGCCGACGTAAATATTGAATGACTGCCACGTCTCTTGCAGATGGGAAACCGATGGGTATTCTGTAGGAGCTGGGGGATGCTGGGACATTTGGTACTGATTTTCATAGTACGAGGACTGATAATACGCAGTGCTTTCCTGCGCCTGATACGACTGCTGTGCAGATTCCCAATATGATTGGGAGGGTCTTGCGTTGTAGTCACCAGATGGGTAAGGATCTGCAGTGCTGAAGGATGATGATGACTGGTATGGATCATGGATATGATGACTAGGCTGTTCCTGACTATAGTATTGCTGGGGCTGAGGCGGGGGCTGGGACTGGGGGTCAGGATGATGGTGATAATGTTGCTGAGGATGTTGCTGATGAGGCTTCGCATGGTATTGAGTATTTTCAGGACTGGTGATGGTGCGATTGTGGCAGCGCCTGAGCATACTGCGGCTCATGCTGATATTGTGGCCCCTGACTACCAGACGTGTACACAGGTTCCCGGCGCTGACTCTCGGCTTGGAAAGAGCTCTGTGCATCGACCGGTTGAGAAGACCCATGCGACGAGGCGGGAAAGTGGTGACGGTATCCCTGTGGCGGCTGTGCACCTGGATGCTGCTGACGCTGGACCGGCTGGGCTTGGTATGTACTGGTCATTCCGCGTACATCCTCAGTAGATGCGTGGGCCATGAAATCATCGTCCTCTGTGTAATACGCGTCTCGTTGAGCGTTGTAAAGCTGAGTATTGATATCTCCCTCGAAACTGCTCCACTGCTCGCGCAACGATGGATGGATGTTGCTAAATGCCTGCGGAGGAGTGCCTTCTACCTGCACCGGGGGAGATTGACTCAGATTGGTGCCGTTTCCTGGTGAATGGCTGTTCCGTCCTGAAGATGGTGGTACGGGGGCCTTAGTGGCAACCTTGTTGATTTGTCCACTGAAAATCGAAAGTTCATCCTTCGACTTTGTTGGACCAGTATTCGAGAATATATCTCGTCGCGTCACGGTAGGAGTGGCAGTACTGTATGCCTGCTCAGCTTTCTGCAACAGCCTCTCAAGGATAGGCTATGAAGGCATCGGCGTCAGCATGCATTGTCCGGTGTTCAGTATGCCAGTGCTAATGCTGACGTACAAGGAATTGTCCAGCTCGACCTCCAAAAACAGATGCTTCTTTGAAAAGACTGATAGCGCGTCGCAGCTCGGTCAAAGCTGCAGTAGTGATCTTCGACCGAGAACCGCTTCCAGATGCATGCGTAACAACAGAAGACAGCAATACCTAATTATATTGGAGTATCAACATGGTATTCAGAACGGTATGCCAGCGGGGTGTGCTCACGGATGAAGAAAACGCATGGGTCCATAAAACCCAGAAGCGAGCGATTTGTGCTGGGAACAAGTCGAACTGCGTGCGAAGACCGTTAATCAATTCACAGGCACTACGGTACCCTGCGAGGAACGATGGAGCAAATGGGCTGCTCATGGGGTCTGTGGGGTTGTTTGATACAGCTTCCGCAAAAAAGCATCGATGAACATATAGCAGAGCTGCAACGAACTTGAAAAATTGCTTTGATGTTAGACTGTTGGAATCGCTTACTCAGGTGTCGGTAGTTCCGGGGCATGTAATGCTCATCGCTTCTCCAAGTTCAGCGCCCTGTCTCGGAGGTCGCTGGGCGTATTTTGGAAGCTCCATGTCGCGAATCGTGCGATCCAGCTCGATGACAACAGAATACTTTGGTACCTTAGCCGTTTGTACATGTTGGATGATTGCGGATATGCAATGGAAACCAAAGCGAGCCTTCCATGCCGGGACTGAGGTTATTAACGTTGAGGTCAACACACGAAAGAGAAGAAAGTAGGACCTACAGCTTGGTACAACAGTTCCGTCTTCGTCCACCGTGGAATCGGGGTCGTTAGGTAGTTCGCAGTCTACAAAAGGCAGATAAAACGTAGCAAGACGACCTGTAGCCAAGGACTACGTGAAAGTTAATTAGGAACATTAGAATCACAAGGACAAGATTTACCTGCCACCCGTCTGTGATGAATAGCTCCCAGAACAGCGCACGGCGCTTTTGCACCTCTTGTGGAGGTAGCTGCCAGCGGGCGCAATCACGGTCTGGCAGTGGATAATAAGCTAACTTGGCCGATGATACAAATGATTGAATTACTGACGCAGTCCAATCTATATAGCACAGCGTCAAGAAGTGGAAACACGAAACTAATACCACTTACGCTCTGAGCTAACTTTGTTGCAAGTCCAAAGATTCCCCAGGTGCTCTCAATGCTGTTTTCTCCACTGCAAAGGCCCTGATAAATTGCGAGTAAAGCCAGAGTCTGAATGGTTGCCACTGATGGTGGACGGTCAAGTACGGGCTCCAAGTTTAGGGCAGCGCGCGTAAGAGTGAAATACATGTCGGCTTCCTCGTTGTCTGGCGCAGGGGGCAATCTGTGATCCGTCAGTGCCCCAAAGCAGAATATCACAAACATCAAGGCGAGTTCATGAGGACCTTTACTCAAAGCATCATTCCCAGAGGCCACGGATGGCGCCACGGAACCCAGATGGATGAGATCTGATGCTTCTGCGTACCATAAGGGAAGGTTCTCCTCCATGAGTTGCCGTTTTGTTACCGCTCCAAAGAACCATGGTGCTTGCTGGAGATACAGCTCACTCAAGTGACGAGCACGATGCCAAGGAGGTAAATGATTTTGAATGAGGTAGTTGAGATCAACCTCATCATTAAACACTGGAGCCAGAGGGAAAGACTTGGACAGATGCTTGACACTGGGAGACATATGTTCAGTATGCTGTGTCCTGTTGCCTGGACTAAAATCATGTGTCGGTGATACGGCAGACTCTCCCTGTGGCACATAATTAGTCTAGCGGTATGGTTGAGAGGACGCTCATAACATACGATGAGCAGGCTCTAAAGTCATTATGATGATGCAATCAGCCGTTGTAAAGAAAGTTGCCAATGCAATGCTCACCTCCGACCCGGCGGATGGACCATAGAAAGTTGCAGCTCCATCGTCCCGTATGGCGAGCGTCCCAAAAGATTCGATGTATTGCGACTCATCATCGACTTCATGCTTGGATTTACCTGCCGTTTCCTCATCTATAGCAGCATGCAAATCTATGATCGATTTGATGTCGAGAAGATTTCTATGCAGAAGAGGATGCTGTTCGCCAGGACTGGTTTGTGAAATAGAAAGTGCATCTTCAAGTTGACGAATCCTGTCACTCATTTGTGCAATCTTCTGATGCAATTTTTCTGTATCTGCTAGCACGAACCTGAAACGAGGAACAACATTGACATGGAGCTTCAGCTACCTACATGGCTCGTAGGGGACTTACCGAGTTCCCTGACCAGTCGTGAGGGAACCTAGCGCCCACGGTCTTGATAAGAGGGCATCTTACAGCAGATGAACACGTGAACATACCATTAGGACAGATGGCGGAGCAGCCTCTGCGTCTGCATGAAGAGCACGGTATAGTTTTGTCACATTTCAGTTTGAGTCTAGCGACAAAAGATGAGAGGAGGAAACTGATCAAAAATGGAGCACCACCTTCTACACTCGGCGCATGACATAGCGCCTCGGCTTCTCTTCTGCTCCTTGTCCATGGCCTTTTGGACGTCTCTGGAGTCAGGCTGACGAGCACTTCCACGGGATGCTTGAGGCATGACTTTAGGCTGAGTGAATAACTAAGGCAACCGAGACGCATAGAGCTGGGCAAAGGAAGAAAGGAAAAGGAGTCAAAGGGCCTTGCATTGTGTCGTCCCTAACTTTAAAGAACTTTTCATTTAGAACAAACGGCATGTTTATGTAATTTTGCTTCCGCTCTCACATTTATGTTCCGAGATTCCCACATGTGCGCCTCCTCGACAGTATCATGTACAGATGCACTCCGAAAGTGGTTGTAACACGTTCTTGAAACTTGCAACCACCGTAACATTTCTATGGCGATTTCAAGGACGATTCTATTATTCAAAGGTCATTATATATCTTGAAGCCTTCTGATAGACATAGCAACTCACCTTCAACGTCTGGTTGTCGGCTTTATTAGAATCCAGCTTCGCGTCAGCCGCATGGCGCGCAAATGATAAGCTTACCGTACACGTTTTCGCCACCGGATAATACTGAGACTGATATTTATTTTCCAAAAGGTGTAGTGTATTTTGTGCACTCATCCGCATTCAGGATGAGACGGGGACCTAGGCATGATTCAGGGTCTGTTGCTACCACTGCCACTGCGGCAATTCCGCCCCAAGTTGCGATCTAAGTAGATGTTTGATAAGAAGTTGTACAGTTACGATATGTGTTCATATATCATAAGGCTCATTGCCAGCCTCCTGGTCTTAGAGCGACCTCAGGCTCTCCTCGGCTTGTTCCACTATCACACGGAGAAAAGGAGAAGTTACTCAATTTACGTTCTCATTTGACTGAATCCAGAGTCTGAGATTGTTTGGTGCGGACTAGAACATTGTCTATCATGTTGGTGTTTTTTTTTACGGCGATTTATGTACGTCCTTCAAACGTTCCAACTCTTGCAGACCGGCAAAACAAATATAACAATGTTACAGATTGAATACAACCATGATCAGAAAAATTACCGAGTATGTACCGAGTTATGCACGTCTCGTCCAAATGTAAATACAACTATCATCACCATGATACAGATCCCCAGTACTTCATCATCAAGCCTTCAACTAATCCGACTTTCCGCCCTTGCTTGGCGCCGCACCTCCCCAGCCAAACCAGCTGGCAGCTTTCCTTGCCTCAGGCCTGTCACGACCCTCCCGGCCCGAATCACCATCAACGTCATACCCCTCTGCATCGCTGGGGACGTCTACTTCCTCAAATCGCCCAACAAAGCTGGACCCACGCTCCCGCAACTCAAAGTCCGAAGATGCACGGGAGGGTGGCTGGACGGAGCCTGAAGCGGGGGGAGTCAAGACAGCAGGACGCTCTGCCGAATTAATGAACGCAAGCTCGGCTTCAAGCTCGCGCCTGCGATCTTTCAAGGAGCCCTGATGACCTGCGTCAGAACGCCTTGTGAAGGTGTTTGCGGGAGTATTCCAGGCTTGGTCAGCAGATGTTCCCGCTGCCGCAGCACCTTGACGCAGCAGTGCTGTGCCAGAAGCGAGGATCGTAGGGCCATACGAGTGCCAGAGCCCCATGGCAAGCCGAGCAGGCCCTGATGCAGGGTCAGCCAAAGTTGGGGGTACACCGGTGTCTGTCACCCCGCCTGCGGGAGCAAATTGGGCCTGTTGCTGTTGACCGATTGCCGCAGCGAGTGCATCCCATAAAATACGAAACCTTTGCTGGATGAAGGCATAAATGCGAATTTTGAAAGATGCGAGCGTCGCATCGATCTGGGATTCATGAGCCTGGAAGAATGGTTCAAGATGGTTGATGTAGAGGTAGGATGAGCCGCGCGTTTGCGGGAGTGCTAGATAGAGAAGAAATATGGTCTTCACGAGGTAGTAGAATGGTACCCTATTTACACGCGCAAGGGGTGTATCAGGACCTTGACACTGATACCATCGATGTAAACCGACTGACCATGAAATAAGCCACTCTGCAGCGTACTCGACGCCGACGATACATCCCAGTACCGACCAGTACATCAGCCATCGCTCCAACTCCTCCTCAGAGGCTGGTCTCTGGGAAAGGGTCTTGTAGGATGCATAGCCAGGATAAAGAAAAACGACAACCGAACTATTCACAACATCAGTATGTGACTCTTTGAGCATATATGAAGGCATACCTAATCATGCAAGATGTAAAATAGAAGACCATGGTGTGCAATATCTCAGAACAAAAAAATCAGTGCACTCGTACAAAGTGCCACTGTGCGCAAGGGTACAACGCATTAACACCGAATCGCTTTACATGGAATGATTACATCATCAACTGAATTTCAATAATGGTGCCACAGACGCGTTTCATTCAGGTTTCTTCGCGTCTTACAGGTTGGACTCGGACAACCTCAAGGGACATTGAGTGCTGAAAATTAAACTGTCGTCTCTAACTTCACTTTTCAACATGTCTCGGCGTAAGAAGAAGTCACTTTTTACGCGTAAAAAAGTATCAAAACCAAAGTATACAATCGGCATACCCGCCGACAGCGAATGGAAAACAATGCCAGATTTTGCTTCGTTTATAGGTATGATATCTTCGCTTTTTTTCCCAGCTTGATGGTGGTAACTGCTGGATTTTAGTTGCTGATGAAGAGGGGAACCAGCATCGATTTTCTATCGGGGAAACGTTCGTGTCTGACTTTATAAACAAGACGTAGTGAATGCTGACCTGCAACAGCGCATTTATTCTACCGGAAGGGGTGCTTCCGGACAAATTACACCATCCAACTGCGTATTGGATTGGTAGAATTAAAGAAATCAGGGCAAGAAACGACGAAGATGTACGTCTTGCCACTGACTCTGGTATTATCTTCGCTCAGCCATGACGCAGGTATGGGTTCTCGTACAGTGGTACTGGTCGCCTCAGGAAGTCAACTCTGTAATCAAGTCTTTGTGAGTGCACGGAGAATTGACATTTGTGAATAATTTCTGAAGTATCAAAGTGATGTCAGTGGCTGTGGTCAATATGAACGGATCATGTCAGATTACTATGATTATGTATCTACAGCAAGTTTCTGTGGTAAATTCCTATTTCTTGTGTTACATTATCAGTTTGAACTCTGTCCGTGTAGATCATGCAACTGTCATGAGATATGATGAACGTTCTATCGACCAAGAGGTGTTCGACTCTGATGATTTCTTCTGTCGATTCGATTTGGAATACCGCGCTCGGAAAATTCTCGTGAGTGTACCTTCCACGATTACTTGAAGTGAAAGTGATAATATTCATCCCTTCAACAGCCGAATATTACACGTACTGCTTGTTGCTGCGGTGTATCTTACAATCCCGATCGAGACCCAGTAATGCATTTCTGCCCGCGTCCAGCTTGCTGTGCAGCCTACCATCAAGAATGTCTGCAAAGACCGACACAAAGATTAGATGCAGCTGCCAGGGCCCGAAAGTTTATCGAAAGTTGGCCTGATACAGATGAACAGCTATCTATCGAAGACTTGGTCGGCTCACGACCATGCCGTAAAAGGAGAAAGGGACCTGAATCTTCGATCTCAGATCCACTTGAGGAATTGCCGGAAAAGCTTGTGAAGGCGGCTCAGCAACAGATTGTGAAAGGCGTGCAAGCGGGGGGCGTCGTCGGGAATGTGAAAGCGGTTGTGGCGGCCCGCCAATTGATCTACCGCAGCTTGCTTGACGGTTCTTTACCTACTGACTGGGAGGATAAGGTGGACATTGAAGCAGCTATTCCCCCGAAGAGGAAAAGCTCTCCCGTGTTTGTGTGCCCCCAGTGCCAAAGTCTTATTTGAATTACGAGGCGTTCTCACATTGATATCCTACTCATTCATACTTTTCATCCCGCACTGATCTAGACAATTACCCATGTAGCATATGCATACCTACACTATATTCCGTATAACAATGATCCTTAGGGGTATATGACGCAATTCAGTACTTGTGACATATTCTGAAACTCGACTGAAACATACCATTCGCAGTACCACTGACCACCATGCCCAGGAGCAAGACTTTGAAGAGTACAATCGCGAGGGCAAGTATATCACTCTTACTTTGAACCCATCCCATAATAACGTGCATTTCATCTGGTCAGCCGCCATACAAGGTAAGGTCTGCTGGTACGAAGCGGGGTATTCCTCCCTACAGTTCAGAAGATTCTACCCCAGTTCCCGCTGAGGCCAATAGTACGACTGAGGAGCAGCCTGAAGAACTGGAAGTGAAAGTGAGGAAATATTTCTCGGTCGAACATATTGATTTAAATATGGATTTACAGATCTCCCGACTGCAGTCGGTCGAGAAAGATGTTCCAGACAAAGTGGGAGACGAGCTACTTCCCAAAGCTCTATCCGATGGCGATGCAGGTGTCGACGCAGCTGAACCAACGCCAAGAGGAAAGGAATCCCTGCAGGAAGCGAAGACGGTGCCTGTCAGGGCCACCGAAAGACAACTTGAACAAGATTACGAATTCACCACTACATGCGAGTGCGACTGTGATGATGGATGGGTGTACGACGAACGGGAAAAGAAATGGATCGATGAGGAAATTGAAGCGAGAGCAGCTGAAGCTGGCATGTCGACTGATGATTGGAAAGTTGCTCAAGAACACGGCGGGAATGATTGGTACCCCTATGAATTTGCGTTTGATGGCATGTCAAACGATGACGCTGATGGGCCGAAGAGTGAGCTAATTTCTCCTTGTCGTCTGATTGGACTCACCAGTTCGCCTCCGCAATAGCTCAGATCTTCCATCGGTATAGACAGTAGATCTCACACTAACAGAACATGAGCAAAACAGTATATATGGGTTACATCCGTGTATGTGCATATATGCTACTGCATAATATAAATAAACCTTTCACGGGAGGAAATCGAATGAAAATGCCAAGTCCGTTGAACGTAGTCGTCCTGATCTGTAACTGCAGCAAACTCAATCACACTCGCTCTCGCTCCGCAGAATCCTTGTGGCTTTGCGTTTGCTTGCTCGAGTTGGGATGGCGCTACTTTCGGAAGCCTTTTTCTTGCGCTTGCGCTCCGTCTCGCGGGTATTGAGTCGTACACCATATCTGGAGAGTTGCTAGAAATCCGACAAACTCAATCAAAAATTGTTTTTAAAATGGTTCCAAGTTACCTTGGACAACTCTGTCGAAGGTTGTAAACCAGGAAATTCTTTGGTTGAATATATGCGGAATGGACCGCCGTGGCACTCAGCCTGCACTGGTATATCTGCTAGACCTGCCGTACGCGCAAAGAGATCGAAAATGCGATAGCGGAGGAAGAAGTCGCCCTCAATTTTTACCGCAAGGTCCTGCATAGATGCACGTGTCATGTGAGAGCAAACCTTCGACCATGATGAAAGACGTACAGAGAATGGAAAGACGAGAGCCTTCTTGCCTTCATAGTCTATACAAGCTGGCTGAACGAAAGTGGCACCCGAGAGTGCGGGAGTACATTTCATATTTTCGGAAATTTGGAATGAATCGAGATAGACATTAGGAGGGAGGGGCAGCTTAGCATCTGACACGAGAATCCTACTCGAACTGGTTGAGGGATGAAATCGATCAGTAGACAAGATTGAAGGTGGTGGGTAGTTGTTAGATGGGCGGATGGGTTGCACTACTGGCGAAGGTTGGCGAGGGAGACGGGGCAGGGAGCCTGACTCCGATGAGCCATCGGGTTGAGTGGGCACTGCTGGAAACAAGTCGACATTGCATAGTAATCCAAGGCATTGGATGTTGCTATAATAGATATTGAAGCAGGACTGGGAACCCTGAGTGGTAACAACTCACTCGTAGTCTTGAACTTCTTGTTCGGATTCATGTTCAGTACCCTCATTATGTATGTGATATAGCCTGAGTTGAACCACTGGTGGTGGGTCGAGAGGGCGTCTGTCTACACGAGCATACCTGCATGCATGATGATGGTCAGCCACATGGAAACGAGTGAAGGAGGCACCGATATCACTTTCGCCCAAGGTCTGCTTTTTGTATCTCGACGAGCTCAGCACGTGCGCATCCTCCGCGGAAGTGGCCAGCAGTGAAATGGATGGGTACGTTGATGTATGATAGAGTCGTTCGAGGTGCTGGCTTGAGCATAGTGTGCAGGGAGCCTGACCCTGAGTCTGAGTCAATGAAAGGTGGGTGGATAAGAAGGGTCGTACTTGAAACAGACGTAAACTTCGATAACACTGTACGGCGTTAGCGTGTACGATGTTCATCCAGTATATGTCACTCCTGAAGTTCCCCTACAATTCCGACGATCTTGGGCGTTCACTAAATGGAGACGCAATTCCCATTTGCGTGACGTTACTCCAACTTGGGCCAGCACCTCCTGCCCTGCTCGTGCATAGTGAAATGAACTGAATACAGAGGTATGGATGAATCGCATGATCCATCGACTACTCCGATTCTAACAAGTAGCTGCTCGTGGCGTCATTGTCAAACTCCTCCGTTTTACCCGGCGCTTTGGCGCACTCCCATGGAACCAGCAACATGGCGGGGACCCACGTGCCAGCGTTGTCGAGCCCACAGATCTACAAATCCCGTAAATCACTTCTAGTTTATCAAACACTGCCGTTCTAACAGCTGATAGCCTCCGAGTCCGAAGTCGCCCCACCGATTCATTGTCATCGAATCAAACGGTGTCCTCTCATGCCGTCAACACACATTCTCCGTGATAAGAAATCTTGCCGACTCCATCGGTTGCGCTACTATATCGGACGATGGCCATTCTAGAACACAGGAGTTACTCGAGTATGATCACAGGTGATTTTCAGAACTTCTGCATCAATGTTTTTTATACATTCCTGTTTATTTTCCGTTTGGAAAAACCCCATAGGAGATGATACATGCAACTACCTAAACGCATAGTACGACCTGCGGTCCCGGAAGGACGCACATTCTGATGTGTCGCCTACAGTTATCTCTTGTCTACAAGGCATGCATCGCAGATGCTGACTCCTCAATTCTTCTCTGTTCCCTACATTTTAACTCAGTTGCAAACAGTACGTTCAAACTATCATATCGGTTACTTTTCACTGACCTCAGTTCCGCCTTTTAAAGTTTCACAAGTCTCCTTATCAACTATCATCGCGTCGACCGTCCATTGGTTCCTACCCCTGCTTCATCTCCGTATCTCTCTAGGCAACAACTGAGCAAATCCATCAAATGTAGTTGGAGTACTCGAGCCGCATCCAGACGTGATATCCCATACGAACCAAGCGGGACTGATCACACTTCTGACGGAGGCGATCGGGGGTTGGCAAACCCACACCTTCAGTCATCTTGAAACATGACACCACTGTTCATCTCGTTGGAACACCGGTCACGATCTGCCATGCGGTCATTGGGATGGAAACCAACACCCTGCAGACCTCGCACGTGACACCACCGGCCGTTATCGGTGATAGTGCTCAGCAGGTGCATCTACTACTGTAATTTTAGTTCATGGCTGATCGCACGGATGTTGTAGCTGTCACTTTGGATCTGCTAATTGCGGGCTTCTTGAACAGAGTATGCCAGATGCACGCGGATGGGCCGCTCTAGGTGTATTATAAATGCGGATTCATTTTTCACACATTTATTAACATCCAGTTGGCATTTCACCCTCACGGTTCCTTACTTGACCAGGTTTTGTGTGGCGTTGGTGTATGCGAAGCAACGACATAGTTGGGAAGAGCACTCTCGGTTGAATGGCAGTGTAAAAGTCTGGAATTCGCGGGTCCAAAAACACCAAACTTCTCATATCTAACATAACTGTTGTGGCGCCGGTAGAGCCCTTCAGGTAAACTGTGAATATGTCCGAGTCCACTGTCAAGATCTGCGGAAATGGTATAGGAGCATGATGATAAGTATGGTCCTCGATCGAATGTCTCAGCCTGACACGTTTCCTACGGTCCCTAGACAATGTCCAGTACGACTGCATCGTCTCCAGATTCAAAATTGCCAGCATTGCAAAAAAGTATAAGATTTCCTTCGTCATATGTATATGTAACCCAAATATGTGATTTATCAAAGTTCGTATCCGTAGTACATTACACCAATTGTGTCCATGCAGTACGAGGCGGGTTGACAATGTCATCAAAACTAGACATATTGGCAATTGATCATGTGAATGTCCAGCGCGCGACAGGATCAGAAAAGACTACAAGTAATGGTGGATAATCTAAAGAATGCGAGTTATAGATGATAAGTGAATTCATTACAAATTATTGCATAGAGTGCAGTTGAAATGAATTCTGTTGCGGAAGGCGGCGGCTAGGGAGAGTATCAATAAACAAGAAACAAGTAAGTAGCAATAGCGACTCACGAAGGACAATGAGTGCTGTGAATATGATGATGACGATCACATAAACAGTGCCATATTTGATGATCTGGGGTCATGCATGAGCATCCTTTGCTCGTCTCCCGAACACTTGAAAACACTCACTATCCAACGGCGTTGTTTTTTCTGTTTCAGAGAATAGAGGGGAGCGCGAATCTGCTTGGAGGGACGCAACCAGACTATAGCGATATCAGTAATACACGAAGAATGTTGGGTTAGACAACTCACAAAGCAGCATCGCATGCAAACGATCCGCGTATGGGAAAAGAATGGGTGGGGTCAACATGAACAGTAGGAAGTGACCAATGAGAAGGTCAGAGCTCCACAGCGATAGCTCGATGATCTTGACAATGAATTCACGGGCGGGTTGTGACATGACATGAGCGCCAAGACCACGTCCATACCAGCGTCCCGTCCACCACGCACGATTCGTCTCATCGTGCTTGAACTCACGCGATAGGAATACAGCAATGAGAACTTTGTGAACTGCACGCTGAATAGCGATGACCGCGATAATGCCAAGAACCGCGTGGGATGCATTCCATGTCTCAAGGAACCACTTCAATGTCAAACCGGACTATGTCAGAACTGCCAGATAGTAG